AGACTTTGAGCAATCCATCCATTCAAATACTTCGTGACCCACACACGCACTCACACACATATCACGCTTACTCCTCATCAATAGTAGCCTTGTAGGCAGCCTCGTCCAGCAGTCCGTCCAACTCTGCGGCATCGTTCACCTTGATCTCCGCAATCCAGGCATCACCCTCGGGACTCTGGTTGATGAACTTGGCATTGTCGTCCAACACAGCATTGCCCTGGGTAACAACACCCGAGACAGGCGAAAGGACGTCCGAAGCGGACTTGACGGACTCGACAGCACCGACGGGCTCACCGGCGCTGACCTCCAGGTCGACCTCGGGGAGCTCCACGAACACAACGTCGCCAAGGGAGTTAGCAGCGTACTTGGTGATTCCAATCTTCGCTGTAAATGGTAGAAGAAGGCGTTAGTGGCTAAACAAGAGTAGTTTGTCCGGGAAGGCTGTGGTAGACGAACCAGTCTTGCCGTCCTCGGCGAGCTCGATCCACTCGTGCGACTCAGTGTACTTCTTCAATTGAGCTGTTGGGAATCAACTATTAGCTTTGAATCCAATCTAGGGGGTCTGAATGCCCTCATGCGACTGAAATCTAGGGGGTTGCTCACAAAGTGGGCTCTGGGAGAAGCTCCGGACACTTCCCCGCGGGAAACTGGCGGGTGCGGCCCTGCAGACGGAAGAGAGGGGGAGCTTCTGCGACAGGACGCGAGAAGCGAAGGGGCGGAGGGATCTAGCGGCGAAAGACATGGTGGGCAGCTGGAGTTGAGGGGAGAGGAGAGGGAGAGGAGAGAATCTGGAAAAGTGAAGAAGTGCGAGTTGAATTGGAGAGAGAAAGGAAGAAGGAAAGAGGGAAGTAAATTAAATATGAATGACGGAGGAGAGAGCGATTCCCGGCGCTGATAGCGGGCGCCAAGCCGGGTGCTGATAAGGAAGTCGAGTTCGAGCCTCCGCAAATGACCTTCGGAAAAATCTCATCCCCTTCCAGTTCCGTGTTTGGTTCTCCGTCGTCCTTTACGTTCCCCGACGCTATTTTCACAGTCCAGACCCCACTCCACATTGTCGGCGTCATGTTGTACGAACTGATTGCTGTTGTATGTTTCCAGACGATTCTGTTTAATGAACTTTATTATATACATTGAACTCATGCTAATTGATGACTGCAGGTCCGTCCCGGTAGCCTCCAGGAGGTTAGAGAGTACGTGCCTATCGACCCTATTTGACCACCTCATATCCTTACGCAACATCCTCTCATCGCCAAACCATCATTGTCCACGAAATATCACTGACAGACGACAGCATCGCCCGCAATGCCGGCATCCAGGTCCTCCGCTCCGGCGGCGTAGTCCGCGGATTCACCAACTGGGGCACCTTCCGTCTGCCCAGGCCCACGACGAAGCATCAGGCCCGCTACAGGGAAGGCCACCACTTCATCATGCGCTTCGATGCCTCCGGTCCCGTGCAATCGGCTGTCCGCAGAACTCTCGGTCTCGATCCCCGGATGGTTCGGTTCTCTGTTGTCAAGCTGGGCGACAAGCTGGAGGAAATTAAGCACGTCGATGGCAAGGTCGAGTGGAACAACAACCGCACTATCTCCGAGACGTTCTAAGTGTGATTCGAATGTGATGTGGATTGGTTGCAGTTATGCGATTGTGCGTCGTTCGGGACACGGAAAATGATTTAATTGTCAATGTATTATTTATGGGATGGGTTTCTTTGTATATCATATCAGCATTATCGGCGCATATACCTTACTTGGCAGATTTGGTCAATAAAGATGGTGATCTGTTTCTTTTGTGCAGTTGTGTCAATATGCGTTTATGACGGTTGTGTCTTGGATAATTCGTCTCAGAATCAAGGAGATTTCCCAGATGATGGTGGTGTGACTATGACGCTTCGAGGAGCGTATATCTATATTTATAAAATAAGAGAAATCTGTGACATTTGCTACATCAGCTCCCAATCTATCGGAATCACTTCATTTTACCCGGGTTACACTGCAGCACGGATCCTTGAAGCAGCGATGCGATATACGCAAGGAATGGAACAAAGATAATCCAGCCTTACCCCAAGCATGAGCACTGCAAAACACATAAAGGGATAATCGGCACAGCCTTGCCATATGGGGAGCATACCAGGAACGGCACCATGTTGATCATCGAATATGCTTCACGGGTAGCCAACCAATTCCGCCCGGTCAGCCGAGGCTCTGGTGAACCATGTCGGCTAAAAGAGTAGTCAGTCGATAGACTCAGCGCCAACATACAATCCCACTTTCACCCTTATCATGCTCCCATGTGAAGAGTAAAGGGGCGCAATCTCGAACATAACATTCTTGCCGTTGCACTGTACAGTGGATATACTACAGATTGAAGCAGGCAGGTATCGCCATTCATTAGTACATACATCCCAGCCGGAGCATAACCCCTCACGCATACACCACCACCATCAACAACATCAGCAGCAGCAGCAAATAAGCCCAACCATACACCATCCCACATTATACATACACACAATGCATGACCCAACATCCAACGAAAGCCCATCCTCCTGGGCAGAGCTAATGGCACTCCATCGCCTCCCCAACCCACCCAGCAGCAGTACCACGGAGCCCACCGAACGATTCGCATCCATAGCACCACCCTACCCACCAGGCGAAGGAACCCGCGCCTTCGGCGGACATGTCTACGCCCAGGCTGCCTACGCAGCATCCCAAACCGTAGAGAAGGGGTTTGTGATCCACGTAAGTACCTACCTGCTCACCCCTTAAAGGCACGCACTAACACCAAAACACAGAGCGTAAGCGGAACATTCATCCTAGGAGGCCTCCTAGACGTTCCATACGAGTACACAGTGCGCCACCTGCGCGACGGGAAGATGTACTGCACGCGGTCCGTGGACGTACGACAAGCGAACCAGATCTGTTTCTCGTGTTTGTGTTCCTTCAAGCGAGGGGAAAGTCAGAGCGGGTTTTCGCATCAGCCTGCGCCTGTGCAGGATCGTTATGCATCTATCATCGCTGGACGGAGAGCGGAGGAGTACCCCGTCAGTCCGAGCGTGGATGCAGATTGGTGGATTGAAGGTGTGAAGGCTGGCGATTTGACGGAAAGGGAGTTTCCTGGGGTGGATGTGCGAAAGGTTGATATGGGGACGTTCAATCAAACGGAGGATGTGAAGAGCCATCCGGAGAAGTATCGGCAGTTGGCGATGTATTCGATCAAGGGGCTTCCGATAGTTGGTGGGGAGGAAAGAAGGGTGAGGGAGAGGGAGGAAGCGGGGGAGTTCGATAGCTTGTATGCATGCGCGCATATGTATGCTTGTGATAGGAATTCGTTGTTGTTGATTCCAAGGGCGTTGGGGGAGACGAGGTGGTCGTCTATGGCGAGTTTGACGCTTACGGTTGTGTTTCATGAGTTGGGGGAGGCGTTGCGGATGCTTGATTGGGCTTCTGAGACGAATGGGGGCCCGGGGAAGAAGTGGTTCATACAGGAGGGGTGGACTCCTAGGTCTGCGGAGAACCGGGCGGTTCATGAGAGTTGGTTGTGGACGCCGGATGGGAAGTTGTTGGCTACGAGTTATCAGGATAGTTTGTTGCGGTTGACGAGTTCACGGGGGAAGCTGTAATTTGGTTGGAGGTGTAGACTGTTGTTTAGATATTTGGGGCATTGTACAGGTGTTACGTGGATACAATGAAGTATATAGTCGTTTGCAGTTATCTACAGTTTTAGACAAATTATTAATTGTTGTTTGGTTGTGTCTGCGAGGAGCCTGAGATTTATCTCATTATCATGGCGCTCCGGGTTTTCCTTGATAAATGGCATGGTCTGTAGGATTGAGCACTGATCTATAGGATCATAATAGTCGAGATACCGTAGCTAATGATTTTCAGTCTGTTAAGCCGCATAATACTCATACTGACAGTTTTCTGGGATTGGTGCACGACTTTTACATTAAGAGTTGAGTGTGTAAAATGTACTCCATAGCATATGGATAGATCAATATCAATGAGACTGCAGCAAGGACAGGAGTGGAATACCTGAATAAAATACTACTATTCCAATCCAGCTATAATGCCCTTTGATCATAGCATCTACCGCATATAGGGTTCAGCACCCTGGCACACACGTGGACGCTCGAAGTGGTTTGTTCGACATTATGAATATGTTGCAGCTGTGTCCGAACTTGGGCCATGAGAAGGCTCAGATATCATGTTATTGCTACTGTTGATGATAGTATCCTCGTCACATGTTGCTTTCTTCATTGGAGTTCATGAAGATCTCCATTGGGATGTCAGTTACCATATTATCATACTAGCCAAGTGTAAATATATATATAGGGGGATCGGCTACTGGAAGGAACTGTTCTGCTGCAACATCAGTTTCAATCGCTGGACTGAAAACAGTTCATTAAAATAGTTTTGCATGATCAGCAATTTGTAGGCTTGTACCACCGAAGCTTCCTATATATTGTGAGTGTAGTCAAGTGTCAGCTGTAATCCACATCGGCAGGCTGTAGTAGGGATTCCCAATAAGAGAAAGACCAATGTTGCAAACTGGCTCCTCTAATCACTAATCCCAGGGTCACAATAAGCCCTCAAGGTAGTGAAGTGGTAAATCTGCAATGGTCACACCGACTGACTGGTGGTGATTCAATGTAAATGTACCTGTCACGTGGCCGAGATACCCGATGACGTAGCTGCCTATTTCAGGCCGACCGAGATCTTCTCTTCTCGCGCCTCTCCACCTTTTCGCTCAGTCCACCCATTCTGCGGGCGTACTCTCAGTTAGTCGTACAAGTACTCGATATTGAAAAAGGGGGGAATGTACCTTCCGGGTTATCCGGTGTGATACGATGAAGAAGACGCTGCTCCTAGTGTTCATCCATGGCTTCAAGGTACCGTGTGCATGCTCCACCCATTCCCAGCCAGCCCGTCTCTCTCCTTTGAGGCTGCACGTGCATGGACCCTACGGGATGTATACTCTGAACCTCACTACTAACATCCACAGGGAGATGATGATACGTTTGGAGAGTTTCCAGGGCGCTTTTGTGGTCTGATTAGTCGTGCCCTCCCCGCTGTCCAGGTCGTCGCCACTGTTTACCCAAAGTATGAGACTCGGGGCGAGCTAAAAGGATGCGTAAGTAACTTTCGGGAATGGTACGTCTAGTAGCCCATGCGATTTTTTCCGAGTGGATGGAGCGTGCCATTGACCGTCATAGGCTCCAGAACAAAGTCATCGACTTGGAGGTCTCGAACCGAACGGCTTCACCGACAGTTGACCCTTCTGTGCATGTTATCCTGCTCGGGCATTCTATGGGTGGGATAGTGGCTGCCGAGACCCTTCTTCTGCTTGCATCGGAACAGCCGATTCCTGCACCATCTTCTGCAGATTCTGCAACCGACTCTCTAGTGGATTCTGAATCTGCCGTGGGGGCGCAATCTTTCATGTTTCCTCACATTCAGGGTGTTATCGCATTCGACACTCCTTTTCTAGGCATTGCCCCGGGTGTCATATCATATGGTGCCGAAGGTCATTATCGAAATGCCACTACGGCGTACACCGCGATATCAGAAGTTGCCGGCTTGTTCGGCCTAGGCGACAACTCTTCGAACAAGGCATCTACCGACCAGGGAAAAGCTTCCAACAAAAGTCTACCTCCTTCGGCTCCTAGCTCATCTTCAAATGCAGATGCTGCCGCGACACCATCATGGCAACGGTGGGGCAAATATGCCATGTTTGCAGGAGCTGCAGGAGCATTGGCTGCGGGCGGGGCGGCCGCGATGTATTCACAGCGAGACCGACTGACGGATGGTTGGGGCTGGGTATCATCCCACCTGTCATTTGTCGGTTCTTTAGCACGGCCGTCTGAATTACGGAGGCGCCTTGCACTACTTGCCGAAGTCCAAAGGGACCGAGGTATCGGCTGCACTAATTTCTATACGTGCTTGGGCCAAAATGCAAGTGATCTAGTGGAGAACAAGAACGTCGGGACATCGTCGTTCAGCCAGAAGATAATACGCTCGAAGAATCGCACTTTCTGCTCGCTTCCCGCGGAAGTAGAAAGTTCGGGGTCTTCCCAACAAGACATCCGATGGGGCCAGGGCCGTGAACGATAAAGCTGCAGATGAAATCAAAGCACACATTAGCATGTTTTTGGCGAACGAGAATCCAGCCTTTAATTTACTCGTGTCTGATGCATGCAAAGTGCTGGTGGAGTCGGTTGACAAGGGCTGGTACGCCACGGCCACAGGGCCAATTGAAGAGGTGGACGGGAACATGCCGCGGTCCGACGATGACCGTAGCAAAGACCAAACTGATAGCGGGTTCATGGACGGGGACGACGTTGTAGTCGTGGAGTGAAAAGGAAGAAAAGGGAAAAAAAGCAAAATAAGCCTGAGACATGAACGCACTATGACCATCCCAGAACCAAAACAATATAGCCAAGCGGATTGTCTCTTGCCAAATCGATACTGATCGCGGTCCCTCGACACCCGCATCGGCTTAATCCTCCAATCACCGAAGCCAAAAGGAAGAAAAAGAATCAGAATCCCTTCCAGAGCAATCCTTGCAGTCGACAAAAAGCGGATTATTCCACGTCATCTGTTTCACCCACTGCAAGGATTAGGCTTGAACAGACGTGTGGCTGAAGGACGAGGGTCCGATCACCTAAGTCAGACTACTACTTAGTACTAGACTTACTAGCGAAGGAGACGGAGACGGAGGAGATGGGGGCGGGGCCAGCCAGCCAGGCAGCTAAACAAAACAAATCGCCTATGACAATGCAGCCAGCACTTTTTTTCCCCCTCCCCTCCCCCTTCTTCCCCCCTGAGGGGCATTTTCTAGGCCAATCTACCCTAGGCCCTAAGGATTTCCCCGACAGTCGTGGAGCTTTCCCGTTCCGAGTGACCGGCAATTGACAAACCACGCTCTAGTGGGCTTACCAGGAGCTGTCGGATTTGATTTCCACTGGCCAGCAGTCCAGTAGCGCAGCATGGTTCAATTTATTAGGGCCAATGTAATGATTTTCCACCATCCTAGAACTCAACTATCAAATCAGATCACTAACTTAAAGTTCACCGTGCTCCTAGTCCATCGAATCCTTCTTATTTTACTCCAGATGGGGAAAAGGGGTCCTTCTTTGAGGCAATCTGAATACTATGTTATTTACATACGCTGCGAGATACTTCGTAATAAGATATTAAAAAAAAAAAGGGGGAAATAAAATAATAACAATAGAAATGGATCGATGCGCAAGATATCAGACAAATGTTGTCAAAATACTAGATTAAAAGGTTTATCCGGCGCGGGGCACGTTATCGGTCTCTTATTTGACGATAGCGGAGAGCCGATAGCGGGACCAAAGAAAAAAGTAAAAAAGCAAATATTGGTAAAAGATCACGCGTAACTTTCAATTACACGCTCATGAAGGGCCCTCCATTGGGCCACAAGACAGAGATCGGAAATACCGCTAGAATGTCACAAACCAGACTGATTGTAGTAATAATGATGAGAAAAGAGAAAACACCAAGATAAACCTAACTTTCGCTCTAAAGATACCCACATTGCCGATTTATGCTTAGATTTGGTGATGATTGCGTGAGACTGCAGCGATTAGAGTTACACTAGGAAACAACGACAGGCAGTCGTTCGGCGACGGGCGGACGGAAGATGCAGTTTTGGCGTGAGGGTGGGCCGCTGAAGGAAGGAATAAGTGAAGTCTTAGGCTAGGTGTTAATGGCCGTGATAGGTCGACATGCGCTGATGATACATGCTCCCGGCATACTCCGAGTTTGCATCAGCGTAGTATCCTGTCTGACGGCGATCTTCATCCGGAAGGAGTTCCTTGACCTCCCAGGTGTTGGGCTTAATTCCGACGGAAAACTCGAGATCTTCTTTCGTAATGTAGTCCCAGAACTAGACAGGGGTACGTGTCAGAGATATTGCAGGGTTCAGTGTTCTGGAAGAAGTTTCGAAATACATACCTTGTACACCATCATGACAGCCAAGAGGTTGCAGAACGTGGCGAAGAAAAGACCGTCCATGTAATGTTGCACGCTATCGCAGATGGTGTCACTAAATGCGTAGAGGAGCACCTGACCACAGATGAAGACCACGAGACCAAACGCGATGTGGCCGAGAGGCCAGCGGTCCTCGAGGGTGTTCATTACCAGTAACAACGACATTACCAGATACACGGCGATGCAAATAGCGTTCAGGACATACAGAACGACAAACATGCCGACGGTGTTGGTGGGACCCAGGCCTCCCCACGACTTGAAGGTCGCGAGAGAGACTAGGAAGGAGATGACAAACATCGCCGCGGAAGAAAGCCGAAGAAGCCAGACAGAGAGAAACGTTCCGTCTTCGTAGAGCTGGAAACCAACAAATCCGTTGATGAGCAGGGATGTGCATAGTGCCGATGCCAGTCCATTCTGCACCGCCGTAAAGTAAGGAAATGGGCCACTCCCAGGTGGAACGACCCCTGCGTCAAGGATCAGGGAACATAGGGTTAGAGCCATGTAAATGTAAAAAAACGTAATAATTTCCTTGCGACCTGTGATAGCATGATGTTGGTCAATGATGTTCAGCTTTCAGGGACCACTCGACTCCAGTCAAAACGAGAAAGCCTAGTAGCCCGACACAAAGACAAAGTGAAGAAGCATACCGACAGCAGTGAACTTGGATCGAATGTGCAGGATCATAATCACGGTCATCCCCAGCGCGATGATGTGGAGGAAGCAGGAAGCCCCTTCGAAGATGATTGTATTGGCCAGCTCAATGTTCCGCGCATAACAATTTGGTATGATGCCCGTGGAGCCCGATATTGAAGATGGTGGACCCACTAGGGAGCATAGCGGCAAAGGGGCCTTCTCGCATATCGAATCGAAATCGCCAAAGCCCATCTTGAATAGCAGAGCTAGCTCAACAGATGGAAAAGACAGTTGTGTGATGTCCGATTGTTTGGGTCGACAGATAACCTGCACGAGATGGGCGGATCCAACCGGTCTCCACAACGACGGGCGGGTTTCCAGATGAGCCAAAGAGCACGACCCCTCCTTTGACCGGAGGGCGATCACTAGGAATGACGTGGCTGTTGCAGCGACGGCAGAACAAGATCTGAGGATGAGCAGCACCGGTAGTATATCGCCGAGGAGCCTATCGAAAGCGATAGGACCACGATGCGATTGGGTCGACGAGGAGGGGGGCAGATGGTGGGAAAAGATCGCTGGGTGCTGAACTGCCAGGATGAGGCAGGATCACGGGGTTGCACTAGTGCCTGATCGGGAATCCGACTGGGGGGACAGAGAGCCGTTATCGGATTGGGACTAGCGCATCTGGGGAGATGCGGTTTTACTTGATGTAGAACGCCGCGCTAACTGCAATGGGAAGGTTGTTGATAGTACTATCTCTTTAGTCCGGGATTGGAGTATCTATGCCTATGCGGACTAACGATTCCATAGTTAGTACTTAGTTACTACTTAGGCTGCGTTGGCCAGTCGTACATAGCTAGGAGGTTCACTACAAATTTAGGTACGGAGAGTCCTTAGTGCCTGCACTAAAGTACTCTGGGATTTCGGCGGTTGCCCGTTTCCTTTATGGCCTCCGTTCGTACTTCTGTAACTGGTATAGAGTACAGCAAGTCAAACGATCGACGATGCGGTGAGTGGGTTGTATTGGATAGTAGTAGTACTCAAGTAGGAAGTAGCTCCCTGTTAGATGCATAAGTCAGTAGCAGTAGTTTGCCTGTAGGTACATGGTAGTCATGTAGTAACATGTGGCTCACTCTCAATGATTTGACCCGTTGATGATCTTATTTAGGTCCTTCTGTGAAAATCTCGGGAAGATCGCATCGCAGGGACTTCAGATTCTCCCTTATTTTCCAAAAAGCCGAATTATGGGTTAAAAGGGTGCCAGGCAACAATCCCGGCACCTTCCGCGGTATTGATTAACAAGGGTGTGAGAGGAAATGAGGAAGAGCAGGGATTATAGGTGGATGATTTAGCGAGTAGAAATTGGATGAGGATTAGATACTACTTTAGGTACCCGTAGTAATAATTGTTTTAAAAAAGAGTGAATAAATTAGGGAATAAAAGAAAAAGAAAAAGTAAAAGAAAAAGGACAGACTTGTGGCATAGTACCCCGCCTAACCTCCGAGTCCAACTCGGGAAATGCCGAGCTTGGACCTCTAGCCGGAATGGCTGTCAACGATGCGCCGTGGTTCTGACTCGCAAACCACCAGGGAACTCCTTTTAGCCCCGCACACCATCCTATCTCGGGCTTGGATCAAGCTCACCAACTTCCTTAGGTGCTCAACTACTGTGGCCCCTTCGGCCTTCGCGATGTCTCACTAATACTATAGTTCTTTCTCAGACGCTGCTCTACACACACTACCTTCATATGGGTCTTGTTTGTTACTATGAGTTAATCTATCCATGCTCCATCCCGTCTTCTCTTCCCCCCTCCCCTCCCCCCCGGCAAGCAAGCAAGCAAACCATCTTGCCATGTCCCGGTTCAAGTGAGGCACTCACATCGAATCACATTGCCGACAGGAAGGTCAATTCTTTCGCCACTTGTACCCTGGTCTAGTGAGTGAAATCTGATTGCTTGCCCCAAAACACTTGCTAACGCTTCCCTGAAAAGATAGTAGATCTGAATAGAAAGAAATAATGAGATGAGGGGAGAAAAAAGAAAAGGAAAAAAAAAAAAAAAAAAAACAAGAATAACACAGAAGGCTACGATGGTTAAAAAAAAAAAAAAAAAAAAAAAAAAAAAAAAAAGGGAAAAAAAGTAGGGGGAAAATACCTCACACCCTTTTGCCGATAACAGTCTCCCGCTAACCGCCCTACTAGGTTCATACCCCGTTGGCAATGGGCCGAGACTCTCTGCATATGGGACCATTTGAGTGGGCACTTGGTACCTACTTGTGTGCCTACGGAGAACACCCGATCCTTCCTCAATAGTCTTGTTGATTCTTACCTGCTAGCAAAGGGTAGGGAAGCACCCACGCCAATAACTGAGGTGAAAAGGATCCCACTATGTTCTTGGCACCGTTGCTCCCCGATCTCCCGGAAGCTTACGCATACGATACCAACAATTAACGGCAACCCGACGTGCGTTCGGTGCAATGGCCATTCTGATTACCCATCGAGCAAGGGTAGAAAAAAAAATCTCAAGTGAAAGCTTACTCTGGCTGGGCCGAAAAGCAGCACTATGGTGGTTGCGATTCCTTTGTATGGATGGTATCCTGGCCTCCTCTCCAAATGCAATCAGCCTTGGCTGGTTGATGTTGGACTTCCTGTAAGCTGGCGCGTGGTATCTCTGACTGAGTGCATCCCTTGTCAGGCTTCCTGCTATGTTGCTAGGTCTGCACTGCCGCCACATGTAGCCGAGTCTAGTCGGACAGCTGGTCTGAGTTACAGTGATGGTGGTGGCACCATGCTGTCAAATTACCTTGTGGATAAAGTTATTAATTGTATGGAGCTGACAAGGGGACAAACAGTTGCAGGTTGATCGATGTAAAAGTGAAAGGGATTAAAAGACGTCAGTCAATACAAAGCAGCCGGACGGGCCAGGCACCATGATATTTGCATTGTCCAATGATGATCCATCATTCTGACGAACTAACTTACGATTTTCCCCATACCCGATATTGGCTAATGCATCTATCTGGCTATCCCGAGATGACTAGAGTCTATCTCTGTTAGCCAATTGGAGCAACTCCCTGGAACAGGACTTCTTGAACCACGGGCTTAATTTTTTTTTGCAGACCGAACAGTTTCACAGCCTCTTCGTGTTTGCCGGGCCCTATTTCTGACTGAGGCCCAAGCAAAGAATTATGTTTTTTTTCTAAAGTCTCACCAGTGCCTATGCATGAAGATCCTAGTTAGCGCCACGTGCAAGTGAAGCATCAACGGCTGCGAGGGACCGTGTCGATCTCCCATTGACCCGATCAATCCGCGGCAGATGGGGCTTTGCATCGCAGTGGAACGGTATCCGCCGGTGCTCCTTCAAAGTTTGTAGTTGCGACATCATTGTTGTCCTTAAAGGAGATTGATGCGCTTCCAATGTATTTGGACCCGCATCGGGACAGGGACTTGCGGTACTCAAGGTTTGCTCCGGACGGCTTCAACGGCCCTGAGGTTCGTGGAGCTGGTCTATAATTAAAGATTGAAATTGATTAGAAAAGAAAAAAACAAAGAAAGAAAAATAGATGAGAACCTAAATTGACTTTGTTGGGCACACCTTTGACAATTTTTATTTTTATTTTTTTTTTTATCTTTTCCTATTTTCTTATTGGGGAGAGGAGAAAAAAATAATTTATTCTGAAAATAAAATGCATTTGGCTCTTTTTTTATTATTTTTTTTTCCCCTTCCCCCTGTTTAACCTTGCTGCAACGGGGCTTGTGATGGGCCTTAAATTCCTATCCCTGGTGCTTGCATGACAGACAGACACTACTGCCCACCATGAAGTGGGATATATTATTCCAAGTCCAGGTCAGTTCACAAAGGTCGACAACAAATTCCTGAGAAACTGTCAAGCACGAGCCTTGTCAATGCTCCAGATAAATTCTAAATCCTTCCACTGCTTCATATCCCCGTCCAGTCCGAAACTCTCCTCTGGCCTCCCCGCATACAGCAAAACGCCTCTATCTGATCGAAGCTCAATCGACTGTATCCAGCATCATTGCACTGCGTTTCCTGACCCGTTGAAATCGAAACCCGAGGAACATGTGCAACTACTTCAAGAACTACTACATCTACAGTTCCTGTCGTGAACCGTCGCAACATTTCATCCGGACATCTGTCGATGGAGCCAAAGACGCCAAATGTTCAGACAGTCCGCATGACAGGTTCATTGTGGTGGTTGGAAAATGCTTGCTCTGTAGTCGACATTGAATGGCATCAATCTTGGATCAATCGCGAGCGGCAACGACATTGCGACCTTCCCGTTTTGGCCTGGAGCGACGGTCCTCTTCCCAATCGAAGCAGGCGCATCTTGGCTTCATTACCTCCGGGGACTATATCGGAGCCTACCTGACGCTACACCCTTCATTACGACGCTTTTATTGTCTCTCATATTAACTCTGGCTTATCATGACTTCTAAACGATGCCGTCTTGTGGTGTTGATGTTGTATTCACTTCTCCTGTGCACATATTGTTGATTCTGTACTTTCACTTCTTGCTTGTCTTACTCATTACTGATATCAAGGGCCCCAAAAGGCCAAGCCCGGGTTATGATCTGCGGATTTGGGTACCGTTGTATGCATGGCGCTTGGAGGAGTCCAAAAGACTGGCCGGTTTATTAGATTGCTTTTTCTTCTCGATACTTCACTTTATGTTTTCTTCTTTCCAGCCCACCCTTTGATTACTTACCGTGTTGTTTGATTCCAACAATGAAGCTTGTTCATTTCTTTTTGCTACAAATGAAAGAGCAAGGCGGCGTACCCATCTGTCGTGGCCGTCGGGATTTCACAGAAGGGAATACGACGCCGACCTAGAACTCGCACAGAAACCACAGAGAGCATCACATGTTCTGCACATGTGCTTCTCGCTCGGAAATTTTTGAAAGAACGGATGAAACCATTTGCTCCGGATACAGAAACCACGGACGAGTAAGAGTAGCGGAAGAGTCGTCGAGACGCTACACAAGACCCGCCATGACCTGTGCGGGTTCAGACTATCCTGCTCGCAAGGTGTCCGCACTGGGGCGCTAGAGACAGCTAGCTAGTTATCAAGTCACCATGGACTCTGACGCAGAGGCCTGCAACGCAGCCCGTTGCCTGCCAAGAAGGTATCGTCCTGCACCTACTGGGGGACAGATGGCGTCTGTGCTCCTCCGCCTCGACAGCGACCGGCCGAAAGGTGAGCTCCAGTGGCCCTCTAGCCGGGCGGGTGGTTTTTAGCACCCCAGGCTATTACCTTTCCTCCACCTCCGCAGGCTTGCGAGGGGGGTTGCACCGGTTTCAAGGTTCTCACCCGGATTCTGTGACGTTTGCAGCTCACGCTCGCCAATCCGAGCTATGCGAAACCGGTTGGAATGTATTTCTCGACTGGCTGCTTCAACATCCTATCAAACAAGCAGCAGTCGATCGTTTTAGAAAACATGAACCTCGCTGGCAACATGAGGGGAGGGCGGACAGAGAAACAATGACGACAAACTCCACGCTAGTCGTTACATCCCATCTCCAGACCAATGTGGTCCTCGAGCGGCCTGCATCCGTGACAGACCGTGGTTACACATCTGCCGGCACGCACGACTGGCGCTAATCAGATTATTGCATGAGATGGTGGAGATGCCAGATTGCTAAAGAAAAACCAACATTGTCTCGGGTGGAGATGGTGGGAATTTTTGGGCCGCAGCCATTGATAATCCCGCAGTCCCAACAACTATCGTGGTCGGCTACCGCAATTTGTCATGAGCTGGTGATAATAATCTGTGTCTCGACGAATCACTGGTCGCCGAGCAGTGCTAAAGGAACCCTTTTCCTTGCCTCAGCCCACCTATAAGGGCTAGTGCCCATGGATTCCTTACCAACACAGAACTTACTCTCGGGCCGATGATGCATTTGCTGCAGGGCATGCAGGCGGTCGCAGGCCACTATTCCTGCCTTGCTCCGTATACGGAGTAGTACGGTCGGTTCGATGTTTCCAGATAGTCATGCTACAACGACGAGACAGGAGAGGGACCAGCGACTCGGACGGAGACTGCGGAGCAACAACCAAACACCCATAGGGCCTCAACCAAACCAGGGACTCGAGTCAGCGGGTGTTCCTCCTTGTCTCTACGGAGGGGAGTTGATTAGTACCTTGCATGTACCCCAGCGAGGAACAACAAGGTGGGAGGGTCAGGACGGATCAAAACGGATGCACAATTTCGTGCTACTACTAACCACGATTCGGCGTGGACGCCTCGACGACTAGCCAAGTGGCAGCATAGTACTTTCAGACGTTGTGACAAGATCGAACAAACAGTTTGTGAAGGGTTGTCGATCACATCGCTTCCATCCCTGCTGCTTAATGACCTAAACTACTATTATTTCAGGTTGACTGGGATCATCCTTCTAACAATTTTCTGAACGTAGGATTTGTTTTCTTTTCTTTTTTCTTTTCCATTTTTTAGACTCTTTTAGTTCTTAGAATCTCGCAGTTTCATTGTAACTTTTCCTTTATCTTTTTACATATTTATTTCTCTGTTTAATTTTTTTCCCTCGCTCTCCACTTTCACTTCCTTTCCGCACTTTTATTTCTCATTACAATTTTTAATTCTATCATGATTTCCGAATATCTTTTTTTTTTCCCATTCCCCTCCCGACCCCTCCCTTCCCCCTTGTTCTGTGTCTCCCTCCCCCCATTTTCCGTTTCCCTTCTTTGTTCCACCCCCGTCCGTAGAATGCTTTATTCTCTCTATCATAGGACGCAAAACAGGGAGTCCGGCATAACTCCGTAGTCCGTCCACCACTCACATCACCAAGATGGAGGAGTCTCGAGACGAGTGCGGAGGATACCCAGTCAGCTGTATTGCCTAATTCCCAACAGGCTTTCGGTGTCAGGATGACCCTCGAGCTTCCGATTTTCTCTCCGCGCCTGTTCCGAACCTATCGATTATCTTCCGAAGAAATTATGGGCTGGACCGCGGCTTGATTACCGGAACGAGTAGGAGGCCTATCAGGGCCACCATGGCCTGACTTTCCCAGACCGGAGAAGATTCAGAGTAGGGCAAGCATCGGGGATAGAGGCAAGCAAGTAGCGCCGGTAGTTCACCCATGCAAGTATGACCTCATACAGCACTGGGTCCTAGCTAATTGATTGTGTGCTTCAAGATGGACGGAAGATCCTGGGAGTAAGGCGGGCTGGAAGTCTGTTATTATAGTGGGGAGCCGGTAATATTATTTTAACTTCTGAGCCGTGCCACGGTACTTTAATAATGTTAACGGGACTTGCCCTGCCCATCCAGCCGTCTATCAGAAAGTATCTACCCGATGTGGATGCTACTACCTCTCGGCAAAAGAATCTCCCTTTGAAGGACGCGTCGCTGGTGCAGTTCTCCAATCATCCTTGATCCATCGGCAAGAAATTATCCGACGGCAATTGAGGGTGCGGGGAGTGTACATGCGTTCTTGAGTCTGTCCGTCATCTTTGCCCTTAGTCGATTAGGTTGCCGGACAGGCTTGGCCCAGTCGGCACGGCGCTCCCATCGTGTCTGGCTGAAACGCACCGCGAGGGAATATAATGGGGAGGGACTGAGAGAAGAAGGTGGTAGAAAGCAAAGAAGTTTTGACGAGAAATAACAATCTAAGAGTTGTAGCATGGCAATAATATTACGTCCATTATTACCAAATAAATAGCCAAGACATTCGAGGGGAATTAAACGGCTCCTGGGGAAAGTACCGATCAAAGTACCTTCAACTGCCCAACAAGCCTGGTGGTTCGCTTGGGTGATTACATTTTATACGGCCACACATTTACCCAATTGATAGTGCTGCGGTGATTGCTGGATAATTTCACCGTCTTCTTCTCGCTGTCATTTCCCCTTCGTCATGTCAGTAGAAGGCGCGCAACGATGGCTGGCCAGAAGACCTTGCCGGGCCCGGCTGATAGACCGTGGCCCTAGATCTTAAGCCACGTAAGGCGCATAAGAACACTAAAAATACATCGAAATAATACTGGTAATTATGATAACATTATGAGCTGCATCCCGTTAGTTCAGCTATCACCTGTCTCGTCAGCCTTTCTTCCAGTTACATCATTTTCATGGCACACACCGAGGCGAGACCCTTTTCCTCAATACCCGAGCTTCACTTTCAACTCCCATCAGGTAGTAGTCGTCACTCCAGTCCTCAACCAAAAGGAACAGCTCTTGTTGGTCAAGGCCACTCTAAAAAAACAGTACTGTCCGAGCTGATGGAAGGGGCGTGAATCCACCAGCCATAGCAATCCACCCCACTTCATAGGTGAGTCCTGGAACTGACTGCCTCCTGCCATCTCATCTCACCTTGGTAAGCGGAAGCACTTGACCTCCCGTCCAATCCCCTATGAGCGACGACTGCTATCGAAGGATGCAACCAAGCAGATCGAATGCCTATCCTCCCGTCCTAGGCTTCAACATCCAGCCACTCCGGGCCATCTGCAATTCGCAGCCACGGATCACATTCCATTCTGTACCAAGGCTCCGGGGCACGGGCAGTCCGGGCCGAATCCGAGCCAGAAATCATGTCATCTCATGCATCGCCTCGATCTATCCGACCGATTCCAGTCTTGGCTCTTTAATCAAGCACGCTTGGCAACGGCTATCAGGCCTACGGACTCCTCCGGGGCTCTCTGCTAAATGCCTCGGTCAACTACACTCGGTCCTCTGCAGGTGGGCTTTGGCTTCTTCTCAGCTATCACCCGTGGAGCCAGCAGGGTGTGTCGTTGACCATTACTGGCCCATTTTCGGTCGGTACTCGACAGGTATTAGACTACCTGAGCTAGGCGGGAAGCTGTTCTTCTGCTAACGTTCTAGTAGTTCCGTTAGTCTAGCACTGCACTGTCCAATTCCCTGTCTGCCTGCTTATCTCAGCACTAACAATTTAATTATCAGGCCAGGGGTCGGACCGGCTGCTCCTGCTGGATTCTTCTCCATCTGTTGCCCCCATTTGGACCCCTGATCTATCGACGAATCACCGAGCTGTCTCGGAGTTGGGTGCTGGTTGACTGGCCGGGATTTCGTCATGGCTGCTATTTAGCACATATTGGGATTGTGTAGGTAAATTAGGGTGCTTTATGCTGAGCTTGATTCGCCGGTGACTATCTCCGGCTCCTAGCCTCGTGCCTGTCACATTGGTCTTACTCGGTGATATCTCTGACACTAATGGGCAGTCGATAATGCACTTAATGTCGGCTTTATGCCGTCGTGTAGTATACCCCCACTGGGATTCCGGACTCCATTGCTTTATCTCATGACCGATAGGGAAGACCTTCCATCTACCCGGGACACCGAAGGTACTAACCAGTAAGTAACTTCGGAGACACTTGGCATGCATACAGATGTTGACTACAGCAAACACATGATAGGCATATACACTTCTTGTTTGTGGGCAAGACTGCGTCTATGACGTGCGTGGAAGCTTCCATGCTTGCCTGGTTGTGATCCCTCGTAATGAGACGATTGCTTAGAGCTTGTCGATGCGCCACAACGGCCATGCCAGGTATCATGTGGACATTATTGGGCCGTGCCTGTCTACGGCTGACTGCCGAGTGCGTAACCGAAGTCAAGCTTCCTGGCGTGACAAATGGTGAATAGTGGCTTAACGGCAAATAGATCTTTCAGGGGGATCTGCGACCGTTGGTGTCAATCAGCCGGCTATAGTAGCTGTTGGGACAGTAATCTCTCCGTCGCTAGTCTGACTAGACGCGATATATCGTTTTTGGTCTAGCGGTTAGTGCGCCGACAGTAGCAGTCAAGGCAAGGGTAGGATGGTTAGGCTGACCGTGGTGGGTATACACTCATCCGGACCAGCGGTGGTTTCTACTGTAGATCTATAGTAGCTGGAACACGATAGGATGACAAGAATCCCTTGACTTTCTCGGGCTTGTACTTGTATGTTGTTCGTTATAGTGGATTTAGCGATGTGTATATCAGTCTGAAATATGAACTTTGATTAATCCAGCGCTAAGTGTTACATGGTCCAGCCTAAAGACATGTTGCCGGCCTTCTTTCATTCTAAATACCACAGATGCAGAGTATATACTGACTGGGTTGCTAAGAGGTGGCTTGACCTATTTGTTGTCGAAGAGCACGACATCGTGCCTGAAGACCTGGCATCACCTGATCGAGGATTATTAACTACTTCACAGCTACTCCTCTTCTTCTCTTCTTTCGCATGCAACCTGTTCGGTCCAGTAACCGGCCTTCCAACAACAGTATCATCTCTTCTATCAACAATATCACAGTCAGAAAGCATCTCAGCTGTGTACTGTCGATTGCTCCAAGCTATCGTGCTTCGCGTCTTTCATGATCTATGGCTATCCTGAAAGGTTGGTGATTCAGTGCCAGCAGATAGCCTGGGAGCGCTCTTATGAGATTGCTGTCTATTACATCAGCTCTCCTTATCAAGTCTACAAGGTGTTGGTAGCGTTGGGAAAGAGGATGAAGCTAAGATTCTAACTAGCTAGGCCACTGTCATTTGAGAATCCCACCATTGTAAGTGTGTAAGGACGTCTTTGAGGATGATCAATACAATGCATCTCGTTGTTGATCAGCTCACCTCGCATAATAATACCTACTGCGAATACAGCTAATGCAGATCTTGTTCACAGGTCTATTCCACACGAGACACCCGCAGATCTGCGACGTCTTTCAATACAATTCGTCCATAATTCTGTCATGCGTCTAATGCGCTTAGACCCGGATTGTGTTCGAGAAGTACTTTCTCTGCTGCTCATGCAACCAGTCTCATGCTATCTCCCATATCAGTCGAAGAGCGGGGGAGCTGCATCTGCCAGCATGGAACAATGCACGTCTGAGCATCAGACTTGGCAAGTTAGGCCCGAGCCCCTTTCTAGTCGCTAGTAGTACGCTACGCAGCGATAGCATTGAAGCAGGGCTACTATCACCCTAAGTTTAGCACGTCTGTTCGCATCTGCAGCAATACGCACTATGAGGGCCAGTTTAGCATAGACTAGACTAGCCGCGGTAGCCAGGTCATTTGGGACAGCTAGCTCCAACATGACACCTCCATGCGCGCATGCACGGTCTCTTGCTGCTATGACCCTAGCCACATCATGCTCTGCAAGCCTCGAGTGCAGGGCAAGAAGTAGGGCGAGTGACTAGCCGTTACATCGGAAAGCTGTTGATTCGACGCACTACTATCAATACTTTGGTGGCGGTGATTACTTTTACTGGAATATAGCTCTCCGTAGGCTGCCACTTTCTGAGTCCCGCTTACTACTCAGCAGATGTTCTGGACTTATCTAGTTTGCGCCGGCATACTAAGCTGCAGGGCCGTGCGCGAGATAAGAGCTCATACCATTGCCAACGGTGGCGTTAGATAATAACGGCTACCAATTTCAGGGACACGTGAAAGTCTTAGTTATTATAAACTAATTTATGACAGTAGCAGAACCATGTGATTCCCGTTAAGCAATATACAGTGTTCGGACATCGCCTATAGCGTGAATTGCTGAGCCAATTGCACCACAGGATGCCAGGCTACAAGCTAGTCAGTCTGCAGGGCACTATGCTGCTGATTAGTGACAGCAGATACGAGTTGTCCTATTGCCGGTACTGAAAGTTACTACAACTGAGCTACGGTGTCTCTCCAAGTGAGCGCAATAAGCGGCCTACTTTTACAAGAGAACAGAATGACATGTTACCAAATGACGAACAGCAGAACGTCAACTATGCAAATCTCGGCTCGAAACAATCAGATTCTTTGTGGCAATCTACTAAACAATTCAGGTCTAGAAGACAAATACACAGCATAAATACAAACCAGCTCAGCTAGTGTAGAAAGCAATCCAATACATTCGAAGATGCAAACAGTATCAGTTACACCGTTGAACCCAACGATCCAGGATCATGTTCTTCAAAACCGTTGAAAATAGTCCCGAATTGGAGAATTCACAGTATCGTCTCTTCTCCTCCCCATCGACATCTTCATCGTCATTCCTGTCACTACCTTTGGGGTATTCAATATGGAAGATAGGCTTTCCAGCCCTTGCAAAAGAGGCATACAGATTACACTCGTGTTTATCTGCACACTCTTCATTGACGCTCCACTGCATGTTTGCAAGAACCTGAGGAATGATATCTCCCGCGTTCTTCAACCCCATAGCCAGACCCCGGCTATGCGTCTCTCCAGCCAACCAATTGATATAGTTGATGGAATCCTGTTTCGTCAGACCGAAACCGTTGTCGTTGCCATCTCCATCAACATTATCCGGATCAACACCATCACAGCCTATCTGCTGTGCTCGGTCCAACCGGGCTGCCATAATGCGGCGCACTTGAGGATGGCGAACATCCAACCATCTTTCCGAAGGCCAGTCGCGAAGGGGATTGCCCAGCGCTTCTTTTGGAAACGAGGCACTGTCTTTCTTGTGTGGCTCGTAGCTGCCAGCGGAAAAGTAGCAGATAATTTTGTGGTTCTGCTTATGGAGGGAGTCAATGGTTCTGGGCTCGCTGCTCCACATGTCGATGTCATAGATTTCAGTGGCAGGAGCGGGACGAAGTACGCTGGTAGAGAGCACAATGTCCCATGAAGCACCGACTCTGGGCTGCCAAATGTTGCCCGTGGTTGAGCGGGGGATGGTAAGACCTTGGGCCACTAGGGCGAGAAAGAGGATGAGTATGAGCATGCTGACTTCGGAAGCGAGCTCTTAAGGAAAAGGAGTATCAGTGATCAGATTCAACGATAGAGACAGGAAAGTCACAACTGTGCATGAGGAAGAAGAGGAAGAAAGAGAAGGGAAATTCGAAGCACCAGCACGCATTTATAAAGCTGGACATGGTCGTATTCACGCACCAGACGGCACGATGCTATAGAATGCATCCCCACATGGCGCCACGTGCATGCTGTCATGGTGAAAGAACAGAAGCTTCACGAACATGGATTAGACTATCACTGTTACAGCCATTATGGTCCTGAATCTCCCGTCTGAGGACATACCAGTCAATCATGTCGGATATTGCCGGGTCTAGGGGAGTGACTTGAAGCTACATGCCGCCTGTGAGAGCTACCTATGCTGTAGGGGTAGCCAGGGCTTGGTAGGTCGAGTTTTCACCCGTTTTCTTTGTCAAGACGGAGTAGACAAGATGAGATGCAGCTTGGCAGGGTGTTTATCACATTACTGTTATTCGATACTACTACTCAAGACTACCTCTTATAGCCAATCATCTCACAAACTAACATAAAGTTTATAGGAATAATTGGCAATACTATATGAAAGATAACATACATGGATGATCTAACACACCAAGTAACTAAAATCTCCCTGTGTAACATCACAACAAATAACCACCCCATCTCAAATCCCCATTGGCACAGCACCAATTTATCCCCCCGTCCTATTCAGCCGTTAGGAAATTCGTACCACGAGCCTAGAAGTCAAATCTATCATATTGTCGTTGATCTGCATAGCCGCTGCTGCTAATAATGTTGCACTGTTCCAAACCAGCACAAGACATAGCATAGTGAGTCGTTATTGATTATGCTTATTTTTGATTAAGGTAGTGAGCATTAATCCCTTGCTCTACTCTCCTGGATCTTTGGGATTATCAGGGGATTATTGGTGAATCTCGTGTTTGCTTCGGATGTGACTGTTATTTAATACTGAATGATGTTTCAAATCTGAGTATCTTCACTGTTAGTATGTCTCATAAATAGCAGGTCTCTTATTAAATATTCAGTCACAGACCTTGCTTGTGAATTCATTTCGGGGGTGCTGACCATTATATTAAGAATGAGTGCATTACCATATACTTAGTATATATTAGCGCTCCGATATTCCGCTACGTAGGACTATTGAATGACGATGGATAGACTGGCCCTGTCTAGTCACTCTGTATCCCCCGAACATAATGTTCACTAGTGACCTATTACACCACTCAGAACCACATCTATCAATGACTTGTACTTTTTATCTATAGAACATATTCAACATATACCCACTGATCACTACCACCACCCAATCCCACAAAAAACAAACAAACAAAACCATAAACAACTCATCATCATTATCATTACCAACATACCCATACATAAACAGTGACCTATATACATACCCAAAATCACATGCCAATCCCAATCCCATACTACAGTACACATGGTATAATCTCATCGATAAACATTAATCCTAAACTTCTGCAACTCCCTCGGCGACGGCAACACAATCACATCAGGACTATCCGGCGGCACTGCATATTCCTCCGGCGGACATAACCTATCTGATTTATTCCCACAACCAGCACCGCTACCATTGCCTATAGGCGATCTCGGACTTCCCACCCTCAGCCGACTATAATACGGGTGATTATGATTATGATGAAGGTGATGGTGGTGGTGGTGAATCTGGACCTTTAGCGTCGATCGCGCTTCTCTATCTTTCATCTCGGATGTTGATGTTGATGATCTCAGTATCTCCGTATCGGACATTGTTCTCAGCGGTGTAGGTTTCGGTTTCGTCGTCGCAATAGCAGTGGTAGTGGTAGTATTATGCGAATGCGATGTATCGACATGCAGATTAAGTTCCTTGCGCAGCGAGGGGGGTATATGCGCTTGTTGTGGGGGTGGAGTATCTGCATTTCCCTTTGATCCTGTCTCTGGTAATGTGTGTGGGTGTTGGTGTGGATGTGTGTATGCAGGCGGCGGCTGAGATTCCTCGTCCGAAGGGGAAATATCTATTGATAATGATTGTCTTTGTATGTTTGGGATCGGGTTGCGGGAGAAGAGCGTTCGGAGAGTAATGACGGGTCCGTGCTGGATTCGGAGGACGATCAGGGTGGTGAGGATTATGGTGAAGAGGATTGCTCCTGTTATTATTATTAGTATTTGTTAGGGTTGTTGTTAGGGTGTGCTGGTGGTAATGGATGGGGTGATTGATGGTGGATGGACGTACCTAGTATGCCGAACGCTAGACCTACTTTCGCCTGCACGGTGAGGTCTGATGTTGTTATTGTTGTTGAGTCGCTGCGCGAGTTGTATTTGTGGATGTGGTGGAGGACATGACTCGTAGATTGGGACATTTGTTTGGTTGATTAGATAGTAGTTATTGATTATTATTGTTGGATTGGATTATTGAGGTATAATGATAGATGTAATGGCATCACAGACCAGCTGCGCACAGAATCAAACCAATGTAACAAAACGAAGGGAAAGAAACGAAAGAAAAGAAAGGAAGAAGAAAAAGGTAGTTGATATATCACCCCCCTCCCTACCCTAAAATACCAACAAAAGGGTAGCTTGCACCTCTAGACTAAAATCTTGGATGAAAAAAAAAAAAAAAAAAAAAAAGCAGGGGAAAAAAAAAGATACTTTTTCTCCTGAAACCAGGATGAAAAAAAGGCGTTGGTAGTAGTACACTACTTCTCCGTAGTATGTTCGGCATTTTCAACCCGGCTTTATTATTATTCAACCCTAACTAGTAACTAGTTAACTAGTCTAACTAACGGGCAATCAAGACGAGACAGCGGCTTGGAAACGAACTTGTCTACGTTGAACGTTGAACCAACCCCCTAATAGAGGGGAGAGGGGGAATTGGTCTAGGCGGTTCCATAGAAACTTTACTACAGTAGTTTAGTAGTAAGTTAAGGTAGTTTACTTTGTTCCCTTCTGGATGATCGACTCGGGCTAGTCGGTAGTTTGTGAAACGGCGGATCATTGGAATGACTCGGATAACCCACTATTCAGTATCCAGTATCCAGTTATTATCTATGTGTCTGTCTGTGCTTCAGTATAACAATTAACAAGTAGTAAGTAAGTAAATAAGGATATTACGATTAACAGAATATAAATAGACATACACTCTATAAGTACTGTATAAATAATATAATATCTACATCAAACAAAGGACCCTCCTTGGCAACGGATTCATTCTCATTCTTCATCCGTCCCATGCAAAGTGGATCCCCCGTGGATCCAATTCCTTTCCCCGGGTCTTGGCCGAGAAGGGGAAAGAAAGAAACTGAAATAAGGGGCTTTAACTTTTTCTGCAGAAACCCGAATACGGACTGGACTGTAGGTAGACTCGTGATCAGTCAATACTAAGTTAGTACTATCCATGCTCTGATCTTAATGGTCTGTTGGTGGGGTCCACTCAATAACGGGGATCCATTTTTACTTGTGTATAGTCTGCTGAAAATCTAGCCACATACTACGTAGTTACTTGCTCTTTTGTCTTTTAACGCAAAGCTAGCTGGCTAGCTAGTTAGCTGAAAATGTTTGTTTGATCCGAGGCTCAGGCGTAAGTAGATTAGTTCTTACATGTGTTCGTGTGTTGAGTGTGTTCATGTTCGTCTCATACTGCCGCACCACCCATATGCTCAAACAAACCTGCTACAATGTAGGAGCTAGCTAGCTGTGCCATGGTTACGCGTGGCTTTCTTTCTTCCATACCGCTGCCACATGGTGTCCGTCAATTTGACTTACATTCACATACTAAATAGAATCAATACTCCCACTCCGGCCTCCTCGGACTCGGAAACTGCATATTAGGATTCAAATGATTATCAAACAACGGCAACGGATCCCGACCATGCAGATTATGCATATTCCTCAAGATCTTCGCGACAGGCTCATCCAGCACCTGTTTCCGGAAGATATTAGTAGGCTGTCGTTTCGATAAACGGAGCACATAGACGGGGAGTAATGTCTTGCAGTCATGGGCAGTGTCATAGTCATATTCGGTGTTGTTGAGGTCGAGGATAAAGTAGGAGTGCTTCCCGCGGCAGATTTTGGCGGCGATGAAGAGGGTTTGGTTGTTTGGGTGCAGTTGTTGTAGGGATTTGGAGGTCTCGGTGATGAAGGGGTAGATAGATGAGAGGTAGTCGGTGGGGTTGAGGATGCTGTTGGGGATGTCACCGAGGATGCGGATTGTGCTGGTTCTTGTGTTTGTGTTTGTGTTGGAGGTGAGTTGTGGGGGGAGGGTGGAAGGGATTATGGTGCTGATTTGGTGGAGGATGTGGGTGCGGGTTTCGTGGGTTTGAATTGTTCATAGTTATTGATAGGGGAGGAGGGTTGGATGTCTACTGGGCTTCTATCTGAGATGTTTGGACTTGGATGTAGGAAGCATCTGGATGTTTTAAAGGGATGTTGTATCGGCAGGAGTAATGAATGTCCGTGCTTTCAATTAACTGACCAATGGTATATCGAATCATTGAATAGCCTGATGTGACTGACCACTTCCATTCCCAATTGTCCCCCAAACAAACCTGCTACAATAAACACATCCATCCAGTTCTAGAATCAAACGCACGCCCCTCACAATTCCGACTTGGTCTTTGGCTCACGAACCATACAATAGAGCTGTCTCAAATTAGTCGACCTGTTTCACCACCACGCCCCTACTCCTCCACAGAACATGTACATAGTGGAGAAAGCAAACTCACCATACAAACATCCCCCCCATCCCTACACTCCATCTCCCTCCTCATCTCAAACCCCATCTTCTCATAAATCTGCACATTCGGCACATTCCTCGAACTCTCCAAATAACACTTGACTCCCTCTTGATCCGCCCGATCCGTCACCGCCTCAAAGAGCTTCCTCCCCACCCCCAGACCCTGACATTCCGGATGCACCGCCACAATATTGCAGAAATAGTATCCCTTGGGATCATCCCAGATCTGGCTCTGCGCTTCATGCTGCCGCTCCTTCCAGATCCAGTAGCGGTTCGTGCGGAGTCCGCCCCGTCCGAAATGCCATACGTTGTTGAGCGTCTGGCGGAAGCTGAGAAGCCAGTTTTGTGTCCAGCTGTACCATGTCTCTGGTGTGTGAGCGGGGGTAGGTGGGAGCCAGCAGGAGACGCCCACTATCTTCTTTCCTCCTGGGGATGATTTTGATGTGTCTGTCGCGACTTGGAAGATGGCATTGTTGATCCCCCAGCGGCATCGCACCGCTAGGGAATCGTGATTGCGCTGCTTGTTGAACTATTTCATTTAGAATGATGATGAAGGTTCCCATACTGGTCGGTTTGGGGAGATTACCCAATCCGACCGCGGTGATGGGAAGGTTGGAGAATTGGTTAGCTTGGTGCCTTTATCTTGATCATCGTGATCATCATCTACATGCTCAGAGTCTAATACCCCGTTCGGGTATGTTTATCTGTGACTGACGGACTTACATTCTCAGCATCAAATACCCACTTGAAATACGGATCTTCCGCGAACGCCGTTTGAATGATCTCAATGGCGGCGGGGATGTCTGCCTCGGTGAGGTCTGTTACTTCGATAGGCATTTTGCTTTTTGTTTTTCCTCTGATCCTTAGGTTCCCTGTTCACATCTTAGATACTTATATACTAGTAGTTGTTGGTGGTAGTACTTACCTGCAGCTCAAACCTCTCAATGGTAACGACCAAGTGAAATTTCTCGAAGATTGAAATTCTAGTTGAAAGCGGTGTAGACTTAAACGTGAGTGATATGATACTATGAGAAGATATGACCTGTTCTAGTCTTCGTGCAAGGAGAAAAAAGGAATAGCACGAGGTGGTGGTACAATCAATAAATGCAGGTGATGATGGCGTCAATCAGATTTAAATACTTTGGACTAAAGTGGATAAGCGCCGAAAGAGGCAGCTCTATGCGGGCGGTGCGCCACCACGGGCGGATTCTCACTTCCTATCTATAACTACTTATCTATTTACTGTTCACTGCTTTGAGCTTTCACCGCTGCTTCATTAGGTTCATGCCTTCAGTACTATTATATGGTTACGGTTTATTGAACTATACCAGGCAAGGGGATACCACTATTTAGTACGTATAACTCAATCCATGCATCTGCTGTATCGGCTACAGCTGGTATCTAAACATAATATAAACAATATGTATATAGTATGAGGAACGAGGAGATCGCTCAAACAATGCCACAAATACATTCCCGGTTCCTCAGGCGCCATTTCCAATCAAGTCCAAATAAATCAGACAGGGAGCCAGCCTACGTTGCTCCGAAAGGATCAAACGCCGGTTGTATCACAAACTCCCTCCGTCCTCTAAAACAAACGTACAATCATCATAAGCGTCGTAAATGCGGCTCGTCGGTTAGACGGCCGACTCCTCCAGACGTACCCACTCCCGTGGGACGTCCATGCTGCGGTTCACGCGCCCCCCTGGCGTGAGAGGCACATCAACTCGTCCGCGGCCCCGATCATCGTCGGCATGTTCCTCGTAAAAGGATAGCCGTGAGAAGTAGTCCTGCAGCACCGATTCCCGGTCGTTGTCCCCAACGATGGAGTTATACTCCGGGGGAGGTGTCACGAGTGGTGGTGGTGGCGGGATATCTTCAAAGGCGGGCGGTGCAAATGATGGCGCTCGCAGAAGATGCATCGGCCGGGGCGCAGGGTGTCGATCGGTTGGCTCATCCGCCAAATGGGCCTGGGGAGGTCGAGCCAGCCCGCCGGAACCATTAGTGAAGCTTCTCGCAACTGCGCCGCCGAGGGGCACCTCGTCCCGATCAGAAGACAACGACTGCCGGCTGGAGCCGTTTCGAGAACCGTTCCTGTTGACCGGCGGCGCCCCCGGACAGCCACATTCATACTCCTGAGCCTGCGGCGGCGGCTCCGAGTCGGGCGAAGTGTATGCGGGTAGGTAGATATTCGCTTGCGTAGCTTTGCAAGAAAGCAAGTGGAAAGGAGAGTCGATCGAGATCTCAAAGTGTCTTCGCTTGCCCGAATCTCGTTCGTCAACCTTGGACAGCCGCAATACAATCTTACTAAAGTTAGTATCGAGCGAATCATCCCGGTGTGGTGTAGGACATACCTTGATCCAATGGTTGATCTGAATGTTCTCATACGTGGTGTCAAAGTGCAGTCGCTGGGACTCATCCCGGTTGCGCATCTCCTGACAACTGGGAAGCTGGACATTGAACTCCATCTCAGTCGGGCCAACCCCCGCGTCGCTGGAGAGATTACCAAGGAGGTTGGTCCGGTTCCGATCGACAATCTCCTCGCCCCTCGCAGCAGCCGCGCGACGGTCCCAGTCGATGCCGCCACCGGCCGTCACTCGCATTGAGCTTCCCGGATAGGTACTGGTACTGGCCGAGTCCGCCCGCTTCTCAAAAAGCAGCACCTTCTTCGCTGGTTGAAACCGATGGACGCTCTTGTCTGCAGTCCAGTGCTGAATGTTTTCGGTCACATACACCTTGATCCGGTGGCACTCAACCTTCGCCAACGGCGTCAACTTGAACGCGATGGGAACCTGCGATCCAAGAGGGAATGACTTCCCCGAGATGACAATGTCATAATGCAGCTGGTCTTCCCAGTTTCGCGAAATGGCAATCGGCTCGACCTGCTCCAACGAGCCCTCTGCTGGCGTGCGGATGACCGGCACTTCCAACGTACCGAGCAGATTGGGGCGAAACGCACCCGCCCGTTCCACAATCGCTTCAAGATCGTAGCGAACAGACCCCAGATCGGTCTTGATCGTCTCAGGGAGAGATCCATCGATGGGAAACTCGAAGCTATACAGATAATCACCGACGGGAAACAACCGGTAGTTGCGCTGAGTGTGAACCGGGGGCGGCGGGGCGTCATTCTTGCTCAAACTGCGCGAATGGTTGGATTGCAAGGACAGTCGCTTCAGATCCTTGGTTGTCAGTTGGCCGTTCTGGCCCAACGAGGTCGCCGAGCCGGTCTTGGAGAGCAACTCCCGGGTGCTGGTGGTCGGCCCATCCTTGCCCGTCACCGACGTCACCGGTTTGGCGTGCTGGTAGAAGTGCGCGCCGTAGTCATTCTGCATCAGCGCAGTATCTCCATGGTTAAAGTACATGACGCCATGTGTGACGAGGTCTTTCTTGTCGTGAAAGTGGACTTTCTTGGGCGGAATCCCTACATGAGACAAAGAGTTAGTGGTGACGCCACCTGGGGTAAGAACAATGGGATGTAACATACCATCTGGCCAATCGGTCTGGGCATGTCCGCGGAAACAAATGGAGATCTTCTTGACTTTGACACTCTTGGTAATCTTGAGATGCAGCTGCCCGCGCAAGATGGCGGACTTTTTGGTGCTGGGATCGTTCTGATCATAACCTTGAAGAAACAGAACGGGTTCGGTGAGCGCAACACCAACCGTTATGCCACTGCCGGTCGCCACGATCTTCTCATTGCGCAAAGTGGGAAACGGCACCGATGGATCCGCCGCCGGGATTGCCGGTTGAGCCGAAATCGGGGAAGGCTGGGACGCCGACACGGTCGACGAAGAGTGGGAGCGCAGCCTGCCCGTCCTCAAACCTGTGCTGGCAAGCATTTGTGCATCATCGGGGGACAAAAGAATCTCAGACACGGGGCGAGGGCGATGTGTTTCGGGCATTGAGGGAGTGGGAGTAGGTGGCGTCAGCGTAGTAGTCGGGTGGATAGGGGTCCCCAGGCGGAGGAATCGCTTTGCGTTTTCCCGCGGACCCGCCAGTTTGCTAAGTATGGACGCGCGCCGGCGATGTCCTGGCCGTGGAACTTGTTCGACCGCAACAGTGTCGCCAACTACACTGGAAGTTTCTAGAGACCGACGATTATCGGAGCGAAACCTCAAGAGACTGTGGAAGATGGGTACAGAATCGGGGGTGCCACAAGAAAGGTGGGAGACCGTACTAGTTGTAGTGGTCACGGAACCGGATAAATCCTGTTCTAGATGGGAGATGTGAGTCGTCATCGTGTAAAGCACCAATCGAAGAGCATTATTTGCCAGACGCAATGAAGACCCTAAGGTAAAACAGAAAAAAAAAGGAGGAAAGACAAAAAGATGACTGCGGGATGTCCGGATAGGCTGATTTTCAACCACGGGTAAGACGGATATAGAGAGGCGCAGGTGAGGCACCCAAGATGGATGTAGTATGCTGGTTGCTGAAGTATAGAGGGGAGAGATTACACCAATATTGCGAGGGATGTCACCAAGGGAGACGCAAGGTAGAAGAAGTAGAGTAACAAAGGAAGATAGGAAAAAGGAGAAGAGAGAGAAGAAAAAAGAGAAAGGGAAAAAAGGAATGCAGCAGGGTCAAAGGGTAAAAGGAAAGGAAAAGGAAAAATACAAAAAAATAAAGCAGCAAAGAAGCAAGCACGTTTTGGGGATGAATCGACGACTTACCGAAATGGAGTCAAGAGAGCAGAAGACTGGGCGTGGAGAAGTATATTCAGAATTCAGGTTGAATCTTACGCACAGTCCCAGCTGCAGCGAGTCGTGCGACCAGTGGAATTTTCCTTGGGACGGAGTCACAGTTCTGTCCTTAATTCCGTAGTGTTTTTTTTTTCCTTTTCCCTTAGATCGATTATTTTTTATTTTAATCAATTTTTGTTGTAATTTTTTTTTTTTCTTTGCTTTGCCTCTTTTCGGATTGGGATGTTTTCTGAATTTGGGAGATGATCGACGGCGCAAGGAGCAGCACGTCCACCGCGGCGCAGCAAAAGGTAGAGTCCCTAGTAATTCAAGCGTTCAACGCGAAGGAAGGGATCACCGTTTTCAGTAGCGTCAAGCAGGCCAGATTGGTCGATGATGCGGGGGGAAAGCCAAAACACCGGCGACCCAAATGGGGATGGATTGTGTCTGGGGGGAGGACCAGGTAGGGCGAGTTAGGAGTAAGTAAGTATCGAAGAGTCAATCATCGACTGGGGGGAAAGGTCATGCGAAAGGGCAGCATTGACATCAGTGACAACACAGACACGGACAAGAATGAGGCGGTGCGGATATAGTTCCTTGGGCACAAGATACTTAAATGCAAAGACAAGGCGGGGGGAAAGGAAGGGAAACCGACTACTACTTGAACCAGGGCTTGGAGGAAGAACAAGAAGAGAGAGAGAGAGAGAGAGAGCGAGACGATGACGCGGATGGAGGGGGAAAGTCGGTAGGTTCAGTCATATCCGGTGATCCGCAAGTTGCCTTCGACAAGTCTCCAATGAAGGCCATTCTCCTCGCTGAACCACTTGAGGAGTTGGGACCAAACTGTCCTTGAATCTTTTTCCACCCGCGGTCAGACTTTCCGCACGAACATGGGCGCCATGGAAGGGGACCACCAACGTTGGTAAACTACTCGAGCTATTCCAACTCTGATTATCTACAATGGAAGGTCTGGCCTCAACCCTTTTTGTCAGTCCGTCGGACCCGATGTTGATTTTACGATGTTGTGGACCGAATCCTAGCAAATTGTTTGCTACTAGAGATTTCTCAAGCTCAATCAATATTCAGCATAGCCTCAACTGATGGTGTGGTTATGTCTCTCTACTCTCTCTCTAGCCCTCTCGCCCCCATCTTTTCCATGTGATAGATGACGGGGCAGTGGTGCGGTTCGTGTCCTCAGGTACGAGGGAAAAGAACACCCTAGACTGAAGATATCTTCGAACGGTACTTTGTCCCTTTACTAGCTGAATCGTTAGCGTCAAAAGAGGGGGCCCAGGCCTCGGCCATGACTTGAGGGGAGTGACGTCTGATCTGCTGGGCCCGGGGGCCGAATTTCACGCACTCTGAGGCTTTAGAGGCGGGTATTCCGGCACAGCCTGGAGAGAGAGAGGGAGAGAGAGAGACCAAAGCAAGTTCGCTCGGTCATAAGATTATGTTTATCCTTTTCGCTCAGGATCATCATCAGGAGGATGATAGCCAGTTGTCCCCTTGACTTCATACATACATACACACACACACACACACCCCTCCCTCCTTCTCCAGAGTCGAGTCGGAATCCAACCCCAGTAAAAAAAAAAGACCGGGATATGAGGCGGTCAGATCCACCGGGACACAGTTCGTGACATCCCAAAGCTTCCTGCGAGGCTGCCGCGTTTCGTTGTCAATGCGGGGATTCTTGGCCGTGCTGGTGATATCATCGGGGCGCGACGGGAAGGATTTTGACTAATCTCTGAGTAGTTTTGAGGCTTGGTGTGCCTTTCCCGGCTGACCTGGTCTGGTCTGTCGTGCCTTGCCTTGATTGCCTGGGGAATCATGGGTGAATTCATTTTCTCCCCTCTCTCTGCTTTTCGCCTCTCAGGTCAATACACAATCAAAAACACCTTTCCCTTCAGGCTTCCGTCGGGTCGCCAAAAACCATTCCCGACCTCTCATTCCGACTTGAAGAATGGATGCAGAAGTTTAATTCTAGATCCATGGCCTGATTTCGGGAACGGTTCCACAGTCGCCTTTGCCGTCACACTCGTTTGTGGTCGCCGCCGCCACCTGTAGGTCCGAGTATTGTCCGGTTCAATGCCTTGCAAATATCTTATTGTTCCAGGTAGAGTAGTCAATCGTCTAGACTTTCAAGGCGCAGATATACCGTACAGTTTTTAGATGGCTCTGATGGTTTTAACCGACCTGTCAGCCCACAGTGTAGATACATCGAGTTTACTATGAGTCATTGGATAGTTAATCCGGACAATTTTACCTGCTCTTAGTCAGCGAGAAACCTTCTGGGCCTTCAGCTTACCACTCGCTGACAGTCTGGAGAGGATCTCGATCATCAACACCGGCTTCCCATGATGTTCTCCACACAAAGTCCATTATCACATGGATGACATCATCACAGGGTAACCTTGACTTTACATTGACTTCAGCACACTCCTCTGTTTGTTTACTTGTACGCAGGGCCTACTGTTTACCCATAGGCAGCATCATAATGTAGATCGTTATCTTCTGTTCTGAACACCTCAAACACCTCAGGAAAGTGGCCAGTTACTTCATGGCATTTGGAGGCTGACGTCGGACCACACACTGACTCCATACTGTCTGTGTAACGAGAAACATCGCCATACCAAACGATTGGAACTGAACTTCCTTGTAGGACCCAGTCAGTAGTTATCCCGAGGCCGAACTAGCAGGAAACAGCTTAGCTGCAATGAAGCCAAGCCGGACCAACACTTCACACAGAAGAGCTAATCGGGCTTAAAGTTGAGTGCTTTCACGTCAGTTTACCGACTGAGATAAGCTCCGCCGTGCCCCGGTCCGTACATTCCTCCACTTTCGGAGTGCCTTGCGTCATTCCGTTGCCTGGTAGGTACCGATCCCCAACCCCCTTACAGGGTGGATCGTCTGATTTGCCGATTGGCGGCTCGGTAATCGCAGAACTGAGAATGTTCCCTCTGGCGAGGTATCAGATTGATTGCGCTGATCATTCTAGAAGTGTGTCTGGTCGGTGGTTGAAGATGACACCGAAGTTGCATTGTAGAAGGAAGCAATCGCCTTGATTGATGATGTTTGTTCCAGATATTCGTCATATTACTTGGAATGTTATCGCCCGACTAGCACATAGCTGTTTGCCTTTTGTCTATCCGTGCGAAGGTAGCTGGTCCATATCTCGAGCTACATTCATGCGCGGACCATCAAGTGAACCAGCTGTCATCCAGGTCATTGATGTTGACCAACTCGTCCCCATCTAGTAAGCTAGCGTCTCCAGCTCCTTCTCCCCCAAAAGTATCGTTCTCCATAAACAGATCGTCGAAGCTAGATTCTCCTGGTGCCATGACATCTTCCATGTTACTGCCACCTTGTCCATCAAACGTCTGCTCGCCCGAGGTATCCCCCGGGTTAGTGAATGCTTCCGCTTTTTGTAGCTCAAGATCAAATGCATCCCCTCCCATCTGTGCGGGAGCGGGGGTGTTCTCGGTACCAGGCAAGGCTGTTGGAGCAATGTTTGGCTGGTTGGTTTCTCCCCCAGTGCCATTGTTGGCATTACTGGCGGCATTGGCTAGATTAGAGCCTGACAGGAAACTGTCATTTCCCACGCCATCATCGCCAAAGTCCAGGTTCAGGTCGAAGGCGTTGGTCCCAGAATTATCGGCTAGCATGGAATCGAAGTTGAAATCGCCTGGCGCAGAAACGGGTTGTGCTGCAGGCACATCAGCGGCATCTTCCTCGGGCTTTTCAGCTTTGACGGGCTGATCGCTTGGCTGACTAGCATTTGCGTCGACCTGGGGCTTCGGAGCGAGAGCGTCGTCAACTGGCTCGGCCTTGGGCTGAACGGTGTCTGCGTCGGTCACTGGTTGTTCAGAAGGCTGTGGTGCCGCCTCTGGTTCAACTTTCACGCTCGATTCATTCATAACAACATCCTCAGCGGGCTGAAGGGCAGCTTTCTTTGCTTGCACTGCCTCGTAGTCTCGTTCAAGGAAAGCTTTGGCAATAAACTGTCGACGGTGAGTACAGATTGCAAAATCTCGAAGCTGCTGCTAGCTTACTATCTGCTCAGATAAACTGTCTAGAGCACTCTGAAACTTCTCGTGTGCAGTGGGGATTGAACGCTTGAGTTGGGCCCTGGACTGCATGGACCCGCCAGTTTTAAAAAAGCGGCCGGTCTCTATGAGCTACTGGGAGTTAGAATATGGCCTTTAGCACTGCAAGGGGGTTATTAGGATAAAGGAGTACCGTTTGGTTGACCATTGACGTCAAAACGTCAAGAGAGTCCGGATTGCAGAAATTTGTTGTCGCCATGGCTATGGTAGTATAGTGACAGACAGGTGTTTGGTATGGCCTGTCGGCTTTCCAGTCGGTCGTGTTTGACGCAGAAGTTTAAAAGGAAGGGCCCTTAACCAGCAGTATCAAAGAGCGATAAGAGCCAGTAATGTGCGCTTAGATGTGAATGGACGGTTTCAGAAGGTCCGTGAGGACGGGTGCCGGGTTCTTTGACGGCAGTACCTGAAAACCAATTGGAGCAGAAGAGTCGTTATGAGGAGGGAAATTGCAAG